TCAAGAGGATATCGTTAGAGCTGTCGCTGAGGAGATTTTAGGCCTTGGTCGTGACGAGCCCATCACGTATGTAGCACCTGTCTCCTGAACGGGATGTGCATGCGTGCAAGCGAACACGCCGTGCTCCAGGCAAGCCTCGGCTCATGGTTGCCCTGGGTGGGCAGCACTTGGCGTGAAAGTACACCAGTCGGAGTTGCTCAGGCATCCCGATTTCCACTGGTAAGAATTTTAGGATTTAACACTGAGGCAGGTTGCAGGCACTGTCGAGAAGGGCTTGTGCGCAGAGTGGAGGACGTAGCTGCAGAGTTCTGTAAAGCCCGAGGAGCTGAGGCTGTGGGGTGGATAGGGAAATGAGGACCCTCGAGGGCCTCGGGTTCAGATCCGCGTGCTGGTGTATGGTGCTCCGCAATGTGGGAAGACGCATTTTGCCAGGAAGATAGCTGAGCATTACAATGTGATTGCGTGGCACTTGGAAGGGGGAGGGGAAAGGTACTTAGCAGATACCACTGGTCAGTCTAGAATCTGCTATGGAGCTGGGCAGAAGTGGGAGAAGTCTTGTGGGTGGTTCGCGACAGGATCGATCAGGAGTGGGGTCAGAGGGGCCGATGACTGAGGACCAGAAGGCTGATATATTACGATGCTATGGGATTGAAATGAAGGAGTGCAAATATCGTGGATGGGTCCTTGATGGGTGGGTGATGTTATGAGTGCCGTTACCGGGGATCGAACCCGCGACCTTCTCCAGGTTCCCTTCGACAATGGACGAAGCACGTGCTCTCTTTTTCGAGAACGTCCCTGTAGAGCGTGAGGAAGCTGAGGACCAGAAGGAGGGGGTGATCCTAATCTTCGGAATCATTGTTATTACTGGGGCTCCTGTTCAGGAAGCCGCAGATAACGATTCTGCACCCGAAACCAGCGCAGCAGAGAGGACAAGACCAGTCCCTTGCCGAGGCCGCATCCCTCACAGTGCAATTCACTTCACTGTGGGTGACTCCTTCTCGCAGCTTCAGTTTGGCCCTCGGTTCTAGGTGTTGGGTAAAGAAGGAGAGGAGGACGCCTGTGATGTCCTATTACAGGTAGGGCCAAGATGGAAGATAGATTGAACCATGGGGTTACGGCAGGACCTTGGTGTGGAGGTCTTCACTCTTGACACATCGGAGTCAACAGGGAATGACCGTATGAAGGAGCTTATGAGGTTCGAAGCTTTGCGTAGCTACATCGAGAGGAACGGTGAGGGCAGGGCTTGATGGTGTGGGGAGGGGCTCGGGTCAGGGAGACCTTATAATTTCCTACCATCCCAGGAGGAAGTGTCAAAAGAGGTGCGCCAGGCGATGGCTTCTCACGAGAAGGATCGCCTCGCAGCAGAGGAGGTGACTGATGGGCTTACTGAGGCGTAGAGGACCATTTCACAGGCTGAGGAGATAAAGAGGATCTCTGAAGAAAGCGAAGTGGCTAGCAGAGAGGCCGCGATGGATGTGAAGAGGGAGGCTGCCATCGCCATGTGGAGGGAGGAGGTAGTAGTAGTAGTCCAGACCGGTAGG